AACCTCCACTGCTTTATGGCTATATCCACGGATGGATTAATCTGGAGCCGGAGTCCCAGAGACAGTTCAGTTGTTCCAGCAACTCCTGCGACATCTCTGGGAACCAGTTGTATTGGCTCTTGCCTTTCCATTGGACTATTTCAGTGATGTGGAGAGGGGGGATTTGCTGCTTGGGTAACAGCCTATGCTCCATATTATTTTACCCAGGCTTCGTGCTCTGGAGAGGACACTCCAGCTTCGCATAGTGTTGAAATAACACGGGAAGTATCAGTTACTGATTATAAGTTTTTGTTCAATTGGAGTAGAGTATGACACCAGGGGCTACTTCCGATGGTGGGAGAGGTCATTGCACCTCACTAGGTAGCTACCGCCTGCCTTAAGCTGGGCAGTCCCCAGGCAGTAAGGTGCAACCTTGCCACGATCTGTTAACCTCACGGGGTGCGTGGGGTTTAGGGTGAAAGCCGACAAGCAGATTGATAACCCTGCACCATGCTAACCTAATTCAAATGAATAAGAATGATTGATTAACTAAACATCTGATTGGCTTCCGGGAGCCTACACATAAGGAAAAGCCTAAATCGAACCATTTCTGTGCAGTTCTCTTTGCCACCATCAAAAGAGGGCTGTTGGACTGGAAAAGCTAGAAAAGGGAGAATGAAAGGAAGGAAAAAAAAACAGGGATTGGAAAGGTTGTGTTAGAAGGTGGATTGAATTTCCGGAAAAGCTAGAAAAGGGAGAATGAAAGGAAAAAAAACAGGGATTGAAAAGGTTGTTTTAGAAGGTGTATTGAATTTCCATTGTTTTGTTTGTTCTGTGGTGTAGGAAAATGTTGACATTTACAAGCTGCATATGCTGCCTTTGGGAGGCTGTGATGGGAGGGACTTTGGACTTGAATGTCAATCACACAGTGGTAGCCAATTGCTTCCCTTTCTACCTCAGATTCCTCTTTCTTCGCTTTTTACTCAGTCAGGATTCCGTGTCAGTTAGAGTCAGGTTAGCAAGGTTCTGTGGGTGTTAAGAGTCTGAGTTATGGAGTCAGGAAATAATGAAGTTAAGACCTTAAACTATATAACAAGTAAATGTTATCTGATATATATGAAAATTTTGTTGGAACATCTACCTTCCTATTACACCTTTAAGAGAATTGGATGGGAGGAACTTTTGAGGGAATGGCAATCAGAATAGCCAATTGTTTCCCTCTCGACTTCAGATTCCCTTTCCCGCCTTTTTATTTTTACCTCAATCAAGATTCTGCGTCAGAATGAATCAATTTATTAACAAGGTTCTGAGTCTATTAGTGTTTAGCAATGTCTGTGTTAGAGACAGTTTAATAATGGGAGTGTTCAGTGAGTTGGAGTATGAATGTGTATATAACCAGTCAGTTAAGCTAAGAAAATAATTTAAGCTCAGCCAGTTAAGCTAATGAACCAGGTAACCAATGTTTTAGCCAAGTTTCTGTTTGTATTTTGATATGAAGATTTTTTAAAAGTCTTTTAAATTTTTTTGAGAGAAATATTTTATTCTTTCTCAGTGCCAGAGTCCGAGGATTTTGAGACTGTGTTCTGCCAGTTGAAGTAACGTGAGGTAAATTTAACTACCGTAAACTGGTTTTTTTCAATACAGTAAAGGATGATGTATTTGAGGGAGACTTGTAATATACTGTATTAAGTTCCTCTGTAGATCTCTCTATGGACTTTCTCTCCACTGTGTAACAAATTTTAATTTTTCAACCAACATTTTAGCACATATTCTGCTCAACAGATTTGTGAGTAAAATAAAAGCATTTTAAATTATTTCTCAACACCAGTTTCTGACTGAATCTATTCATGCTACAATGCCAGTTGAGGTAAATCTAAACTAATAAAGGATGGTATATTGAGGGTTATCTGTAATTATATAATAATCTGCTCTGTCTGGATTTTTTCTTTGCTGCACAGCTGGAGGTATTAAGCCAGCAATTTTCATACTATGCCAATAGAAAAAGGCAGCAAAGAGGAAACAAGGGGAATGCAAGATATTTTAATAATTGGAAAACCAGATTCCACCCACATTTTTTCTTGAGAACTAAAGAAATCTGTGCCCATTCTTTGTGTCTACAGGAAACAAGATTCTGTCCTCCCTGGTGTATGTTCTGATGCATTCTCACCAGGGTGAATTTTTTGATGGGAAATAAGGTGTCTGCTCTTCCTGAAGGACTCTCCACCCTCCAAGCATTTGAACTGTTTCTCTCCCTCTGTGTGGCTTCTTTGATGAGAAGTGAGTTGTGCCCTCTGGCTGAAGCTCTTCCCACATTCCAGGCATGCAAACGGTTTCTCCCCTGTGTGGATTCTCATGTGGTTATTCAGGGTTGTGCTCTGGCCAAAACTCTTCCCACATTCCAAGCATGTAAAAGGTTTCTCCCCTGTGTGGATCCTCATATGGAGAACAAGGTGTGTGCTTCGACTGAAGCACTTTCCACAGACCAAGCATTTAAACGGTTTCTCCCCAGTGTGGATTCGGCTGTGAAAAGTAAGTTGCGCACTCTGACGGAAAGTCTTTCCACATTCCAAGCATTTAAATGGTTTCTCCCCTGTGTGGGTTCTCATATGGGGAACAAGGTAGGCATTTCGACTGAAGCACTTTCCACAGACCAAGCATTTAAATGGTTTTTCCCCGGTATGGATTCGCCTGTGAAAAGTAAGTTCTGCACTGTGACGGAAGGTCTTTTCACATTCCAGGCATTTGAATGGCTTCTCCCCTGTATGGGTTCTCATATGAGAAACGAGGTATGTGCTGTGACTAAAGCACCTTCCACATTCCAGGCATTTATATGGTTTCTCTCCTGTATGGGTTTTCATATGAGAAACGAGATATGTGTTGTGACTAAAGCACCTTCCACATTCCAAGCATCTAAACGGCTTCTCCCCAGTGTGGGTTCTCAGATGAGAAAGCAGATATGTGCTGTGGCTGTAGCTCTTTCCACACTCTACACATTTAAAGGGTTTCTCTGTGTCAGTTCCCTGAGGGAAAATGAGGCTCGCTCTCTGCTGGGAGCTCTTTCCATTTTCCAAGCATTGAAATGTTTCATGAATTTCAAGCGCTGACTTAGGACTAATATTTGTGGCGCATTCTGGGATTTCCAGCAGTTTCTTTCCCATGTGGACTGTCCAATTAGCACTTACACTGACTTTACAGCTGCAGTTATTTATGCACAGACATTTACCCCTTTCCTTGCTTTTCTCCGCATTTTCTTGGAGCAAGGCATCATGTGAATCTCTGTCTGGAGAAGCAGAAGATTCATTTCTTCCATGTGTTTTTGCCTCATTTCTCCTTCCTTGATGTTCACTCTCTTTACCAATGACTCTGTCCAGGCATACCCCATGCAATTCTTCCTCATTCTTGCTGTCTCTTACATCACGGGCTGAAATAAGAAAAACAGAATCCTATTGGAACCAAAATGGAAAATATAGCACAGTTTGTGTTCCATCCTCTGAATATCCATTAAAATATTTGAAAGGACAGCAGACTGGAAGTTAACACCTTGGGCTGCTGTGCATGTTTGCCTGGCATCCTCTAAGAAGGAAGATTTGGGAACAAATGTCGGGAAAAGCTTGGCTGTCTCCTTTTTTGACTCTTAGACCTCCTGCACCTACAATCAGTTTGATACTCTTAGAAATCTGCCTTTCAGTCCCACCTCCTTTTCCTGCAGACATAAGCTTTAGACCTTTACATCTGAATGGAATATCCTATTTGAGTGACTACTCATTTTTCACCTGTTTTATTGTGGATTTGCAGTGGGACTGAGCATCTAAGGGTCTAAACGCCACCTATTGTGCTACAGAAAGAAAAACTGTAATATCCTATCTGAATTGTTACTTATTTTTAATGACGTCTCTTATTGTCGATCTTTGGTAGGACTTACTGCCCAAGTGTCTAAAACCACCTAGCTTGCTAAGGAGAGAGAAACCTTGAAAGTTCTCCTCTCTTTCAACTTGTGAATGTTCACAGCAGTGATGTACTACATATTCTTTGGTACTATTTGAACTGTGGATTTCTTGACTGAAGGAAAAAAAGCAAAGCTCACCCAAAGCCACCACATTTTCACGCGTCTCCTCCATGACGTCCCTGTGGCAGGCCCTTTGGTTTTGATCCAGCAATGCCCACTCCGCCTCTGTGAAATTCACGGCAACATCATCAAAGGTTACAGGACCCTGAAAGAAGAGGAAGCCTTTCATCCTCAGAGAGAATGTGGTTGTTCGACTCCTACTAAGTGCTGTCCAGAAGAGAATGAACACAACAAGAGGGCTGGGAATCTGAGGCCAGACTGAACCGGTCCCTGAGGAAACCGCCAGGCCATTTACTACACAATATTGAAAGAAGCGAATGGAAGGGGCAAACGGTATAAACAATTTACTCCATAATATTGAAAGAAGCGAATGGAAGGGGACAAACAATATGCAGCTGACCAGGCAGACAGGAAACAAAGGTGCCCAGGCTCCTTCTCCATCTCCCCATCCAGTCCCCTTTACCTCTTCTGGCTGCACAGGCACAGCTTCCATTCCTCCGCAAAGGAGAGATGAGGGAGAGGTTCCCTGCATATTTTCAGTGCCTGCAAGGAAAGATCTCTTATTCTTCACATGAATTTTATCCCCGACTTACTCAAAAACAGAATCTTCCTATTTTGATCAACCAATCTTTCATGAATTGCACGCAGGAGGCCTAAAAGGCCATTCACTGGCTTTGGAAAGATGCAAAGAAGGGAGATCGAGAAGAAATGGGCTGACTGAGTCTTACCCTGTGAGACGGCTCCTCCGATCCCCTCCAGCCTGTTCCTCGGGAGTAGTGGCCTCTGCCTGAGGGACAAAGGGGAGTCCACTGCCAGAGGGGAGCCAGGGTCAGATTTGGAAGAACCCTGTACAAAAAAAACGCAAACACACAGAGAGCAAAGTCTGGATACCCAACACAGGAAGGAAGGAACAAATTTAAAAACTTAACAGTAGAGGAAAGAACATCAGATTTAGGAAGAAGAGTGGAAATGGTTGTTGTAGGTTTTTTGGGCTGTTTTGCTGAAGGTTTTTCTTCCTAACGTTTCACCAATCTCTGTGGTAGGCATCTTCAGAGGACAGGAGTTAGAACACTGTCTGTGTTCTGGTATAATGTGTGAGATAGTAGAGTAAGTATTTGTAGCTGTGGGATCCGCTTTTTGTCCTTTTCAGGAGATTGGGTGATTATGGTGATCAGGATGTTTTTTTAATGGGTGTATTGTTGTGACGGGGGCGGAGATGGTCTGTCACTGTGGTTGGATCCCAGCCATGAAAGCCTTAGAGAATACAAGAGCGGAAATGTTTGGTTAGGCAACTTATAAAACACTATAGACCTGAACTCTCACCAGCTCCTCTTCTTCCTTCTTATCCACTCTCTGGCTCAGGAGGAAACCTTCCGCCAGGGACACGGCCTGCGAAGTGGTTTCCGGCTTGCACTCTCTGACCCAGATCTTCATCACTGGTGGCAGGGCAGCCAGGAACTGTTCAAGGACAATCAGGTCCAGGATTTCAGCCTTGGTGTGTTTTCCTGGCTTCAGCCACTGACGGCAGAGACGATGAAGTTGGCTACAAAGCACTCGGGGCCCTTCATCCTCCTGGTAGCTGAATTCCCGAAAATCCTGGCACTGGACTTCTGGGTCAAGAGAGTCCGTATCAAGGTTGTTCTGTCCAGTTCCTACTGGGATTTCCTCTTTGCTCCAATTCTCCATATCATTAGGCTACTTTCCAGCTCCAGAACTGGCTGAGACCTCCACTTTCATCTCCAATAGGAACCAAAAGAATGGAAGGAAATGGACCGCTTTTTCCCTCTGTAGGAAAAGCAAAGACATACGAAAACTTAGGGGCAAGCTCAAGACTTGGGAATGGCTCAGATATTGAAGGAGAAAGCAACTGACCACCCAACCCCACTCTACAGACTCTTTCTCTAAAGTTTGTGCTCTCCACATTTTTCTACAACCCCCCCCAACCAAGGACTACCGTCTCCCCATGGTACAATTTGCATTACAAATAGAAAGTGCCTTTTCACTGGTTCAAACCCAAATTGTCTTCAACAGAGGATTCAGAGGCAGGGGAGGAGGGCGAAGGGGCCTGTCCCACCTGTGAAGTGCTTTAGCCCTAGGAGGCTCATTTGTGGGTAGAAAAGGATGTTACTCAACACTGCTGGAGGTCTCTCCCAGCCCCACACAGTCCCATGACTGTCACTTGCCTCACCAGAAGCAGATCCGAGAAAATGTCATCTCCAGGAAGGGGGGAAATAGCTGTATTCCAAAACGCTCACAAGAAGGCATGGAAGAGGGAGGTGGGTGAAGAAAGAGGAAAGGGTAATGCAAGGGCTTTGCTTTTAAAATGCAGGACTCTAACTGAGATGATGGGGTACTACCTGTCCTGAACTGACTGTTCTGTTTTTGGTGCATTTATGATTGTTCTAATCTTCTTTGTTTAATTGTGTGTTTTTTTAAACTGCGGAGGAAGGAGCCCTCAGAGGAGGAGGAGGGGAGTTTGGGGGACGATCCCCGGAGAAGGTTCACCTGCCCTGGCCTTGGAGGGAGGGAGAGAGAGAGAGAAGGAAGAAAGGAATGGTCTTAAAGGGGTCTTCCAGGGACTCCCCGCCAGCTCAGGGCTCCTCTTCTCTCCGCCTCTCCTTCTCCCAACGCCCTGACCTCTCTTTCTCCCTCAAGCCAAGCCCCACAACCAGCTTCTCCAACCGCTGCCCCACCTCCCCTCCTTCTCCCCGCCCGGGGCTTACCGGCTTTCCTAAGAGTCAGTTCCGCCTGGAACTCTGAAGAGGGGAGGGGGTTCTTTCGGGAAGGAAAAGACGGGCGCACCTTCACGGCAGAAATAGGAAACGACTTCTAGTCTTCCTGTCGGCTCATCTAGGAACTAGGATTCCATGGCTTTACCTCCTTTGGAGGACCTCTGGTAGGTATTTAGGATGGTTAAAAAGGAAGGACATAAAGGTTGGCAGTAATCTCTGGATCATCGAGTCCAGCCCCTGTCACTCAGATGCCTAAATCCCTGAGCTATCTATCCAGCAGCACATAAGAAACACACTTTTAATAGACACATGTTGAACTTTTAAAAATCTCTGGGCTTTGTTTTAATTGTTGTCTCTGTCTTTGTGCCCGTTTT